AACAATCATAAAAAACATATTTGAAAATTATATATATTAAAAACAAACGGCTACATTATAAAGTGATGTAAAATACTAAAAACAGGAACATGTCTGTTGGTTTATGCCATGAACTTAGCAGATGTTTAAAGCCATTTTCTTTTATTTTATTCATTTATTCATTCATTTAAAAGAAACAAAATAAACAAAACAAATTAATCAAAAAGAAAACATTGAATGAAAAGAGTTCAGAAAGAACAACAACATTATATCTGCTACTTATTTAAAAAAATATAAAATAACTTTAAACAATCACTTAAATTAATCACTTTAATATCCACTTTAAATCTAGGAATAAAAAGAAACATGTTTTGTGTTAGCAGAATTAAATTTTAACTTTGAATCTTATCCAACATTAATAAAACTTACCTCAAGTTGCCTTTTTGGACATGCATGCATATATTTGTACAAATTGTACTTGAGAGGAGATTATTACAGCCTCATATAAAATCATTGATGAGCATGATATCAGAACGGGATCGGTATTGGCCGGCACATAGATTTAGGTGTCGAGATCAGATTGGAAGTAAAAATAAAAAAATAAATAAAAAATGGATCAGTGCATCCCTAATTAGCATTAGTCACCTGCACTGCTGTCTCACTTGTGGAGGCTTGTTCCAGGTTCCTAGCTGCAGTGTGGGCTCCTCTGCACTCCTGTGCATGAAGGACAGCCTTTTTAATTTCAAAGTTTTTGTCTATCCATTGTGCTGCAAGATTAGTCACGCTAATGGGGCTAACACGACGTCCAAATGTCTTTGGTAAAACTCACCCAACAAGTCGTGCTATCGGCTGTTAGCTTTTCAATGACGTCGAAAATGTAGGTTTGTAACTCTGGTAACGTTAAGCTGGAAAAATATCTCAGACTGCGGACGATGTAGCGAGGCTCAACGTAGTCCAAAAATCTTTGGAATCCGACTTCCTCGTCAACAACAGCAAAAAAAATTCCACACCACCGACATTTTGAATTTTTCTGTCCGCCGTGAGATCAGGTAGGCGCGCATGATGTCATCACGTTGTGCTGCCGCTGCAGGCATCCTTGTCACTGGGTTGTCATGCAGAAACAGCTCCTTTTATATCAGTGAGTTATTTTAATGGACTGGCCCAAGTCCGATATTGAACTTTAACGTTAATATCGGCTGATACCGATACCATGCCGAAAATATCGTGCATCCATAGTGTAATATATATCGAAACATTGGGAATGTGCTTAAAAATCATATCGCCATTATTGAACAAAAGTACATTGTGATATATTGAATTATTGTCCAGCCCTATGAGAAGGTGCTATTTATAAGACTGAGTTTGTTGCAGCTCCTCAGACGGACAAAGTCTTTTGGATAAAAGATGAAATGTTTCAAGTTTTTTTTTTTTTTTTTTTTAATCAGTTCTTAGGACCTGACGAACTTTGTTAGAGTTTTCTACCTGGATTACTGAGCATGCATCAGGGTAACGTGTACCGGTAACAAAGACTTTCAGAGTTTTAGTGCATTCGCTCACAGAAAGGAGTGACGTTCTTTTTCCATATTAATAATTCTTATATTTACATCCTCGCTAATAAATCACTGAGAGTTCGGTCAACTGGAAAATGTAAAAGTGAAGTTTTCAGCATCTTTCATCCACAGTTACTTCATCATTCACAACCGGTGAGCACTTGTGATGCTAACATGACTTTCTTTGCCAATATGGCACGTTTTTATAAGAAAAGTCAGACTTCACAAAGGGTTAAAGTAACATCCTTGATTTAGTGTCTGGTCTCATATGGTAACTGTCCAGCCTGCACCATTTTTCTTTACATCACTTTCACATCAACATCTGATTGAAGTGTGGAGAGTAAACACTTGAAGGCAACAACTGAATGTTTCACTTTCTGGAGCCTTTAATGTTTCTGTCTCAGGGTTTTTATTGGCAGATTATCTGAACGTGATCCAAAAGTAAAATAGTTAATTCTTCTTGATCTGCTCTGAAGAGGAATCAGCATAGGGTGAATCACGCAGGCTTTTGTCTTCTAGATTAAAATTATTTAAAGAATCACTGAACTGGACTGTGCCTCACCACAACATTTAATCAGTGTCATGAAAGCTGTACAATGTTACCATGTTACAGTGGATGTGTGGAGTTTCTCTCTTTTAGTAATTGTTTGTTACGCTCCTCAGAGTAAAGAAGGGAAGAGCCCCCTGCACATGGCAGCGATTCACGGACGCTTCACACGCTCTCAGATCCTCATCCAAAATGGTAACCAGGACTTTTTTCTGACCGAGCTGTGAGAAAATGCATTTGTTTTTTTATTTTTTTAGTTGTCGTTGATGCACTCCCTCTTCCTTTTACTTTGCATCAGGAGGGGAGATAGACTGTGTGGATAAGTATGGCAATACCCCTCTCCATGTTGCTGCTAAGTACGGCCATGAACTGCTGATCAGCACTCTGATGACCAACGGAGCAGACACGGCCAGGTATTTAAAAAATGTAAAATGTTCTTACAATACTCTGCTGAAATGATGCATTCTTGTCAAGCTGTAATACCACTGAGTTTTACTGAAGTTCTGTTTTTCCATAGTAACTCTTTTTGTTTATATTTCAGACGTGGGATCCATGGAATGTTTCCTTTGCACTTAGCGGTGCTGTACGGGTTTTCAGACTGTTGTCGCAAGTTACTCTCCTCAGGTTGGTTACAAGAAAGTGTGCAATCAGATTTACCTGTGCTTTAAAGTCTATGTTTACATGTGTATGATGTAGCTTTCAGCTCCAAATTTTCTTACCCATCCTACAGGTCAGCTGTATAGTATAGTTTCATCTATGAGTAAAGAACACGTACTGTCAGCTGGGTTTGACATCAACACCCCAGACAACTTTGGGAGGACCTGCCTACACGCTGCTGCCTCTGGAGGGTAAAATAATTTATTCATGTGCTTTTTTTTGTTTGTTTTGTTTTAATGTCACGTGTTTTAATCTCTTCTCTAATGGTTACATGTCTTTACAGAAATGTTGAATGTCTGAACTTGCTCTTAAGTAGCGGTACCGACTTGAATAAGAGAGACATAATGGGAAGGTAAGTGTTCTGCATTTATTTTTTCTTGACGTCTAAATATGAATTGAATATTTCAAACAAGAACTATTTTTGAGTGACTTCTTGCATGCACCCTACAGGACACCATTGCACTATGCTGCTGCTAATGGGAGGTACCAGTGCACTGTAAACCTGGTGAGCGCTGGCGCTGAGGTCAACGAGCCTGACCAGACAGGCTGCACTCCCCTGCACTACTGTGCTGCCTCCCAAGCCTTCAGCAGGTAGGAAACATCTCACTTCTCCATCTGTCTTTGTTTTAAAGCAGCAGACTGTGTCCAACCCTAATCAAAGGACAGTCTTCGCTTCAGAACAGTGACTGACTTCTGAATCAATGGTTGATTTTGACTTGACATCAATTATTATCCTGTATATTTTTGTAAATGTATTTTGTGTTATAGTAAAAATAATTTGGCGATGCTACACAAAATAAAAGTGACTGATAATGCAGGATGCACACAGCTGACAGAAAAGACCAAACCTCTTAAACTACGGTTCTACAGGGCAGATAACGGTGTTGAATCAAGTTGATGCTACGTCTGTAGCCAGTATCTCACTGGACTGTGACTGCTGGAAACTGGTTAATGAATGACATTTGCAAGGGAGTCTCCATAATGTCTGCAAATGTTTGAGGGTTCTCAATTAACTCGTGTAACAAATGATTTTTTCAAAATAGTCCGAGAGTCGTTGCAGGCTTCTTGACCCCGTGTCGTTGCAGATGTGCAACTCTTCTTAAGAGCACTGAGCTGTATTTTGACTTCTGCACACAAAGCCCTCTGTAGAGAGAAAACCGCTGAGGCTGCATTCTCAAATGTTCAGGTCTAAAGCCCATGCTGATTGTAAATGGTTCTTAAAACCGCTCCGAATCTGCTTACAATAATTTCAAACGTTTACTGCGACTGCCAAGATGGTTATGAAACGAGCTTGATCTACAGAACAGAGACGAGCCATAAATACAAAAATAAGATTTAAGTTTCAAAAACTGGCTACAACAAATGCAACCACACAGCTCGCTGTTCACTTGGACACCAGCACTCAGAATTTAGTGAAACTGTTTCTGCACGACGGCTCAGTGGTTAGAACTGTAGCTTCACAGCAAGAAGGTCCTGGGTTCAATCCCCGGTTGGACCTGGGGTCTTTCTGTGTGGAGTTTGCATGTTCTTCTCGTGCTTGTGTGGGTTTTCACCGGGTACTCCGGTTTCTTCCCACAGACCAAAAACATACGTTAGGCTGCCGTCAGGCCCAGGACTCGCTTGGAAAAGAGATCTGTGATCTCAGTGGGATCAAAGTTCATGCTCAGTCATCCAGGTATCAAATCCATTGACCTGACTGAGAATTGTTGGATCTCAATGGGATTTGCCTGGTTAAATAAAGGTTACTAAATAAATAAATAACCTTATTTTCTACCGTAACTAAAGTGAGCGTTTACATTTGTTCAGTTTGTGCCACCGTCCTCGTCACAGAATAATCTAATTAACTGTTTAAAGTCTGAAGTACGTTGTGGTGCACGTTTGACCTCCTGTGTAAAAATGTTGCAAAAATGTTTCAATTATCACGACTTCCTGAAGCAAAGCTGAAATCTTTCTTAGATTTGTGTTTGATATTTATTCAATTTCTGAAGTGAAATTTGTTTTCAAAGTTTAAGTAAAAAGCAACTTTAAATTTAACTTTCTAAGTTTGCCGAGCTGCTGAAATGATGTAGAATTTTAAACGTGTAAAATCTTATTTTTTTTATTTTGCAGAACTGATCGTAATTTTTCTGGAAATCATCAAAGTAACGAGGATGAAACGAGGGAGTCGTACTTGTGAGTTTTACTTGCCTCATGTTATAAAAAATAAAATTACTACAACACAGGCTTCATATTAAAGGGAGAACCACAAAATGACCGTTTTAAAACATTTGTCTTTTCGTACGCAGCTGCTTGGAGCATCTTTTGGACAACGGTGCTGATCCATCCATGGTGAACTCTAAAGGTTACAGTGCTGTTCACTACGCAGCTTACCACGGCAACAAACAGAACCTGGAGCTGGTGAGTGCTCACATCGTCAGGTCTTGTCACAGAGGTTCCTTGTTGTGACTGCAATGTGTGAAACGTTTCGTCTCATTGTAATTCCTTTACTTCAGTTTTTACTGGAAACTCTCAAACAGCTGAGCAGTGGTGTTAGCAGTGGAGCTACAGTGTCCACTGACAGTTTCTGGACTTATATGGTGCTCCACGTTATAAGTTGGAGCTTTTGGACTGACAATAACATTTGGTCTCTGGTGTGAGACGGTGCCAAAACAGGCAGTAATTACTTGTGGGAGATTGGAGAATTAAATGGTTTAAAAATCCTAACCTTCTGAATCTTTCAGCTTCTTTTTGTGTCTCTTTGTTGCTGAATTACTCCGTCACTCTGTAACTCAAACAGCCACAGATTGTTCGGTCTTTATGTAATTTCTGGCCTCTACAGTTTCTCTGATGTTGCAGTAACTGTAACCTCCAAATTGTTAAAGGATCGTTCCTTGTAAAGCTTTCAGTGCATCATGGGTGGATTTTATTATTGCTGTTGGACCAGCACTGTTGAAATGCAAAGAGCTTGAAGTGCTGGTCTGTAAAATGTGCCAGCACGAGATGTCTCTAGCTTGCGCTGGCCCTGCAGTATAATTGAGGCTATTATGTGTAAGCAAATGGCTCTCTGCTAAGCGTTTCTTGGAAACACTTATCTAATGGCGTTGTTTTTCATGTTGTCTTGTTAATTGGTGTTGGTGCTAAGTTGGTAATATAGCATGTTTTGTTGTAGCTCATCTAACTTTATGTTGACTGCTGTCTTGTTTTTAGCTCTTGGAGATGTCCTTTAATGCACTCGGAGACATAGAGAGCAGTATTCCTGTCAGTCCCCTGCATCTTGCTGTAAGTGTTAACACACGAGGTCACCTCTGGTTGTAATTTGCCTGTTAATCAGACTAAATGCTGTGGCTGACTCTCATCTGCTCCCCCAGGCTGACAGAGGCCACTGGCAGGCTCTGCGAGTGCTCACAGAAACTGCAGCCTATGTGGACATGCAGGATGCTGCTGGTCGTTCTGTGCTCTACTTGGCTGCACAGAAAGGCTATGCTCGCTGTGTGGAGGTCCTTCTGGCTCAGGGAGCCTCCTGTCTCCTCAATGACAACACTCTCATGTGGACTCCAATTCATGTTGCAGGTACTGCTGCTTACAGATAGCACTTGTTTTCTGATTGTTGCCTTGAATATTAAACTGCATTCACTGTTTTTTACCAGCTGCCAATGGTCACTCAGACTGCTTGAGGATGATGATCGATTATGGAGAGGAGGGAGATCTTACCAACGTGACAGACAAATTTGGCCAGTGAGTTTGTTTTTCTCAAAAACGTGACCCGATTTAAAATGCTTGAATGTCGTAAGCTAATTTTCCTAAACGCACATAAACGAGAACGTGTTTTTATTCTTCAGGACTCCTTTAATGTTATCTGTTGTGGGAGGTCACACTGACTGTGTCCACTACCTGCTGGAGAAGGGTGCCCTCCCAGACGCTAAGGACAAGAGGGGCTGCACAGCTTTGCACAGAGGGGTAGGTCAAAGTCTCTTCATACGTTCCTGCAGCAGAGCATCGATGTTATGATAATCTGAGGACGAGTAAAGGTTGATCTAAACAATCTTTCTTCTCATTAGGTTAAGGGTGTATTCAATTTAGGGTTTCCTTAGAGGCTCTCTGGATTTGCTTGTCCTGCTGTATAATACATTTATATATATTTAGTGCAATTAACCAGCTTCTAATATATTTGAACTTTGATTCATTTCATAGATTATTTTATTTACTGTATTTAAACTATAAGGTTACTGTTATCAAGTTTTTAATTGGTTGTTTTGTCAGATTCTCATTTCTCCTCGATGTGTTAACAGGCAGTGTTGGGACATGATGACTGTGTAACGACTCTGCTGGAGCACAGAGCTTCTGCGTTGTGTCGGGACGTCCAGGGTAGGGCTCCGCTGCACTATGCTGCCTCTAGAGGCCACGCAGAGATACTGGCCAGTCTGGTGCAGGCCGCCGTCGCAGCCGACTCACAAGATAAATTGCTGGACAACAAACAATACACCCCATTACACTGGGCTGCTTACAAAGGTTTGCTCGAGCTGAGTGACTGAAAACTGCTAAACCTCGAGCATTAATGATGCAATTAGTCACTTCTAAAATCTGTCGTGTGCTTGTTTCTAGGGCACGAAGACTGTTTGGAGGTTTTACTTGAATTAAAAACAATTGTACATGAAGAGGGAAACCCTTTCACCCCCCTGCACTGTGCTCTGTGAGTCAATATACGTTGGTTGTCAAAACATTACATTTAGTGTAAACAAACAAACAACAAACAACACTTCTTTGATTCAGAGTAAGTACTTTTGTTGACTGGTTGTTTTTTTTAGGATGAACGGCCACAGCGGTCCTGCAGAGAGACTGCTGGAGTGTGCCGGCGTTCAAATGATTAACACCAGAGATGCCAAAGGAAGGTAAGTCTGAACTAAAGCACTACATTCATTCAACTGTGGATGACACAGGTTAAGGAAAAGCTGTAGACAGGAGGGGTCTTAGGCTTGTATGTTTTACCTGCAGCTGCTTCCTGTATCGTACGTATTTTATTACATTTAGATGAGAACATAAAAATATTTTCACTTTGACATGAAGTGAAATCCAGAAGAGAATTTTCGGTGCAGCATCGATGTTGCAACGAGTTGTAAATGAAAATGAAAGCGCTCCACTTTCTGTTAACCCATTTAACCTTTTTTTTTTCCATATTTGTTTTGGTTAAAAAAAAAGTTTATGAAAATTTAGCATCTGTGTTGCCTGCAGTTTTCTTCTAATACACCTATTAAATAACGGGTCCCCAACCAGACCATGGACCATGGTGAAGTGGCAGCTCTAACCACTTGACCTCCGTCCTGAAGGCTGTAAAGCAGTTACTCAAAGAAGAATATTAAAAAATTAAAATGAGCTCATAGGGTGATTACATTTAAATGCGTTGTTTTGTTTTGTAATTATATTGAAGGCAACATTTCGAGGCACCTGCAGTGTGTCCCATTAATCAATCAGCTGGACCTACTACTGTGTTTTTCGGTCTATAAGTCAGTTTTTTTGCATAATTTGCATGCCCTGAGATTTAAACACTGAAGCGACTTACTTATGTTTTTCCCCATATTTATAAACCAATTTTAGGCTGAGATATGACAGTTTTCATTCATTCTGACTAAAAATATTGAACACGACCATTTTCAGTCGCCAGATGGCACTCGAGTTGTATGGCATGCCGTTGTGTCATGTAATAGGTAAAAGTTGCTATTAATAACACAATAGGCTTGCCATAGTCTGCCACCTTCGTTCTGCTCGCTTGGAGCAACCGTCACATCAACTTCATTTCGCTGCACCGCCCTGAATAATGCAGCTGATTGGACCATTGAAGAGCATTTATTAAGTGAAAGTTCAACTGAGACACACTTTTAATATAAAATCGAGCAAACAATTGTTTTAGGTGTTTATCTTGTTAAATTTTGAATAAATGTGCAGCGTTCCTCCTTCCTGATTTCCTCCCTGTCTGTGCTCCCGGAGCACCGAAGCAACAAATACTTTTGAAAATGCAGCTCATTTGATCATCAAAGTGCATTTATTAAGGAAAAGTTCAACTGAGACGCACCTTTACTATAATTTGGAGCAAACAAATAATTGTTTTTAGGTGTTAATCTTGTTAAATTCTTGTTAAAGTCCTCCCGTGCACGTTCCCGCGGCCGTCATTTGACAGCCAATCGATTTTTGGCACAACACCGGCCCACGTTTCTGGGTTGTGCGGTGACGCGTAACAAACACGACGTCAGTGGTGATGCATAATAGATGCGACTTATAAAGCGAAGCAACGTATTTAAGGATTTTTCCACTTTATTAGACATATTTGGACTGATGCGACTAATAGGGCGGTGTGGCGTGTACGGCGGAAAATACAGTAATTGCTGTGGGACAGACCAGTAGCTCCTACTGATTCAGTGAAGGGTTTCACTTTATTATCGCTAAGAAAATATGCTGTGCATGTGTTATTAAAGAAGACCTAATGATAACATTTAGCTACAAAGGTAATGTTAGTGTAGGTCTTTATCAATATGCTAAATATTATTTATGTGGCAGTGGTAGGCTGGTTTATGCTGTGATAAACACCGCCTGTCTGTATTTAGCACATTCTCATTACTCCCCCCAGGTCACTGCAAATACTAAAGACCAAACTGTTATTTTGATTAGAACACACTGAGGATGGTGGAGGTTACTGATTTATCTCAATAGACCGTTTTTGACAAACACTGACTGTATGAGCATGTTAGCTATAATTAAATACAGTCAAGCGGTAATAGAATGACACGTCAGTGGGCTCGCTCACGGTTAATTACTTGTCTAGTCTCAGCTGGCAGAGGAAAGCTCAGTGTGAACAGATTTGGATGGTTGAGCAGACCTCCACCAGGTGTGTGGATCAGCTGTTTCCCACAGGAGTTGTGACGTTCCTGACATCTGAGGAAAACGTTTGGGAGCCTAAAAGCTGTCCTCTCACAACAGCTGACCGTGCTGTCTGTCCTGTGCCTGTAGGACCCCGCTGCACGCTGCTGCATTCGCTGAGGATGTCTCAGGACTTCAGCTAGTGCTTCGCCATGGGGCAGAGATCAATGCTGTGGATAAAGGTGGACATTCTGCTCTGATGGTGGCTGCTGACAAGGGACACAGTGGCACTGTGGGTACGTCTTCTGCCTGCTGGGAGACACTTGACAGCGTCTTGGGTTTCACAAAAGGCCCTCGTTAAATTAACAATATGTTCAAGTGGAAATTGACACTTGGTTTTAGATTGTTTTTGGAGAGATATAACGAGTAGAAAAGTCCTAATTTGTCCTGCGGAGTCATTCTTAAAAATGATGTCAAATGTAATAAATGCGTTTGTGTTTTGGTGCCACCCAGCCATCCTCCTCCACCGGGCCAAGGCCGACCTGACACTTTTGGATGAGAACAGGAACACCGCCCTGCACCTGGCTTGCAGCAAGGTATGCAGAGTTACTCATGAGTCTCCATTAAGAGCTGCAGATAATCTCAACGCTAGCACTTTGCTAATAAGAGAATTTAAGAAAAAAATGGCTATTGGGATTTGTTGTGCTGCCAAAATGACGTTTTCTAAAAAAGAAAAAGCCCAAACATTTCCGTTAGATGTTCAGTGTTTGTGACAGTTCTGTGTATTTTGTTCCTAAGGCCCATGAAATGTGTGCTCTGCTGATCCTGGGAGAGATCCACAGTCCCACGCTCATAAATGCCACTAACAGTGCTCTGCAAATGTGAGGACATTTTTTTCTTGAGAAATTGTTCTTTTCAAAATAAATACCACCTCATGTAGTTGTAACTTTATCACCCAACACTCACTGCACAAACCACGTCTGACTAATGCCATTTCTGTCTCTACCATAAAAAAACATAACCAGAGACCTTGTTTGTTTGTTTGTTTGTTTGTGTCTCCGTTTGTCTACAAGTATTCATACACATATTTATACATTTATTCTTACATATTCATTCTCATTAATGTATTGATGGTGTTAAGAGCAATTATTCACTTTCTATCAAATATTCACTTAGACATGAATAAATTAATTATATATCTGTCAAAAAGTCTTACAAAACATATTGACCATAACATACAAAAGGACAGATTCATAATTTTTCTTTCTGATTTTTCGCACGACAAAAGCTTTGAAATGTTTCTATTTGAAACTGTAAGAGATTTTTATTTTCTCTTTTTTTGCTGCTGTTTTCATTTTTAGTACACTGGCCAAAAAAAAAGTCACCACCAAAAAAAAGGTCACACACTAATATTTAGTTGGACCAACTTTATCTTTGATTACATCATGCATTCTCTGTGGCATTGTTTCAATAAGCTGCTGTAATGTCACAACATCTAATTCCATCTATTACTGCAATAATGTTTCACCAAGATCTTGCATTGATGACTAGACACTAGTCATGATGGGTGCATCACTTCACCTGCCTCTCTTCTTACCCTCATGCACCCGTCACTCTGGAACAGGGTAAATCTGGACTCATCAGATCACATGACCTTCTTCCATTGCTCCAGAGTCCAATCTTTATGCTCCCTAGCAAATTGAAGCCTTTTTTCCAGTAAGCCTCACTGATTACTGGTTTTCTTAAGGCTACATAGGTGTTCAGTCCCAATCCCTTGAGTTCCTTCACATTGTGCGTGTGGAAATGCTCTTACTGCCACTATTAAACACAGCCCTGAGTCCTTCTGTTGTTTTTCTTTGATTTGATTTCACCAAACGTTTAAGTGATCGCTGATCACGATCATTCAGGATTATGTTCCGGCCACATTTCTTCCTGGATGACAATGGGTCCCCACTATCCTTCCAGTTTTTAATAATGCGTCAGACAGTTCTTAACCCAATTTTAGTAGTTTCTACAATCTCCTTAGATGTTTTCTCTGCTTGATGCCAATGATTTGACTCTTCTCAAACAGACGGACATCTTTTCCACGACCACGCGATGTGTCTTTCAACATGGTTGTTTAAGAAATGAGAAGCAACTCATTGCACCAGTTGGGGTTAAATAACTTGTTGCAGCTGAAAGATAATCACCCAGGCAGTAATTATCCAATAGGAGGCTCGTACATATTTGCTTAGTTAAATCCAGGTGGTGATATTTTTTTTTGGCCAGACAGTGTATATTATGAATTTTTGAAACTTGGCTTATTGCGAAAATTAATTTGAAGCAACTTGAAGTTTGATGTTCCACACTAAACAAAATAACAATTTAATGATCATTAGTGCTTATAATAATGTTCAGTTTGCTTTTACTAAATGTGTTTCATGTTGACACTGTTCAAATCTTTTTTAATTAAATGTTTTTTTAATTATTATTACATATAAATGGTTATTCTGCGTCTGTTCTCGTCCAGGCCGCTTCATCTTGCAGCTCGAAACGGCCTGGCTACGGTGGTGCAGGCACTGCTGAGTAGAGGAGCCACAGTCCTGGCTGTGGATGAGGAAGGTGAGGCACTCCTAAACTCATTTAAATCATTTTTAACTTTTCTTTAATCTTACACCCAGATGTAAACGAACATTGGGAGGTTTTCTTTAAAGAAGTCCACAGAGGTCACTGAAATCACTTGAAACTGACAGAAGTCATCAAACAAAGAGTTGTTAAGTTAAGCAAGTAATGTTAGATTATGTTAAATTAAAAATACCTACTAGACAAATATGTAAACTAAAAATGTGCATCGGCCATAAAATAACTCACGGATCGACCTCAACCCAGAACCTAAAATATAATCCAAACTGTTCACTGGTCTTCTATAAACTTTGTGCATTTGAAGCTAATTTTGTTCCTTCATGAATAAATAAAAACAAAGTTTGTTTTGAGCTGTCAGAGTAAAGCACTATGTATAAAATCCAAAGTACTCTCTAAAGGTGAGGTCTTGTCAAAGTTTACTGAGATTTTCATGTGGGTGGCACCTCTTGTGATCATTAAACTATAATAAAAGTTTAATTAGTGCAGGTTGAACGGGCCACGTGTGTGTACTCATGTGGTTGTGTTGCTGTTACCAGGCCACACCCCAGCTCTGGCCTGCGCTCCCAACAAGGATGTGGCGGACTGCCTGGCTCTGATCCTATCTACCATGAAGCCTTTCCCTCAGCGGGACCCTTCCTCCTGCTCCTCCTCCTCCCCCACCGTCACCTCCTCCGCGGGTCTCAACCTGCTGAAGCACTGCGGTATCACCGCCGCCTGCTCCCCTCTGCCCAGCAATGGCCTCCACAACGGCTACGTCAAAGACCGCCACGGTGCAGCGGTTGGCCTGGACGGGTGTCTGTCTGAGTGAGGTCTCAGTCAGCTGCTACTAACATCACCACCCCCAGGGAGCAACTACCTTAAACATGGTCAAGAGGACCAGAAGAGCACCCACCCACATGTCTGTTTTCTCTGTATGTACGTGTTTGTGTGTCTGTGTGTGCGTGAGTGTTTGGTCTTCTCTTGAGGTGCAGTCAAACCTATTATGCAATTAGATCCCATTCCTCCATCTCCTAGTAGTGCTTAATGCGTCGAGGTAGATTGCTCTACAAGGTCACTCCATCGAGTCGAAGCATTCAAGATAAACACTAACAATCTGGCCGTGTCCAAATTATTTAACCCTTTAAATCCATGCAAACATCGTTCTAGAGCATGGAAGTGTCCGTTTCAGCTGTCCTCTGCATCTCATTCAGTAAAAAACATTAATCCACTGAGGTGACCTTGTAGAGGATCTTAGAGCCTTCACTAAAGAATGATCAAAGATTTTTTTGTTATTTTGAGGGTTCTTTTTTTAATTTGTATGTTAGCCTAGATTTTATGAAGGAACCACACAAGGGAAAGACAAAAACATCTAAATTTTGCTCAGAGTGCAATGCTTTTTGTACTACAGTACAATCTGAAATTTGGAAAAGGGTCTCAAAGTTGTTATTCCATATTGTGTGATAAATGTACGGCCTAGAGTTGTTTGGCATTTTAAGATTAATTTGGTAATGCTGCTGAATTCATTAGCATGTCTCCTTCCGAAGGAGAGCCATGTTGGGGTCAGCACACCCCCACGTTCTAAATGCTGACCTCCTTTAAAAAAAGATGCTAAAAATAAGTGTTTGTTAAGCTAGAATGTTTCTAAGCATATAAGTTATGACCAAAGTTGATCAACACTACTATGGCTATAAATTATTTATTTGAGAAGAACTGTACTGTATAGAGAAAGACAATAGATCTTGATATACCTCGTCAACTCGTTTAGCAGCTGCTTCATCTTCACCCAGGGTCTGTAGGCCTAAGGTTCTCCGTTTGTAAGACTGGAGAACCTCTGTAGGATAGTGACTGACTGAGGCCTTGTTTATTTCTAGATTAAGGCTTTACTAGTAATATCTGCCAACAACACCTCATTAAAGCATCATATATTTGAGCACATAAATGAACAAGCCATTTCAATTTATTATTTCCCCATTTCTTAAACAGTGTTTTATTTTTTTTTCTTCAACAAAGATTTTAGATTTGAATGGCCTGATTAGAAGAGAAGGGGGTTTCCGTTTTAAGGCACTAATAATGTTTTGTTGTCTTGACATTTTGAAGTTGAACTGGCCATCAACATAGTGGATTTAAGGTCTGACTAAAGGAGTATTTCCTGGAGCTGATGAACTTGTCTTAAGAATCTAATAGTTTGTAATTGCAGCTACTTTGTGGTCAACTCTGATCCGTTTGAACAGATATATGTATTGGGCAGTTTTAAGCAATATTTCTTTTTCTTTTCTTTTTTTTTTGCCTTTTTGTTAAGTGTTTTTGAATAGACAATCACTGTCACAAGGGCTTTTGTTTCCCTAGAATGTGTTTTTTTTTTCTTTACGTTTCCTTTTTTTAATTTATTATATCATGAAAATTTTACCTAAAGACTAAACGAATGGCTCTGTATGTGCCGGGCATTTTACTGTCAGTGTCAATTTTAATGCACTGGACTGCCTTTGTGGCGTCTTATGAAATGCCTTTTGACCCATGCCTTCTATACAACGTATCATTTCAGTTTGATTGCTTTATGGCAGAATATGATGAGCCCTGAGATGGATTATGTTGCCACCCATTTGAAAGCAACCGCGCTTTAACCACAGTGACCTCACTGTAGCTAGTGTGGTCAAATAAATATATCTGTTTTTTTGCCCAGCTTGTAACTTATCTGGCATTATTGATAACCAATAATAGGTATCCCTAAATAATAAAATGGGGCTAAATAAAGGAGAAGGGTCTTTTGTTAGGCCAATGCCCGTTGTTTAGATTTCAGGATCAGCAGAAATCCAAATAAGTGCTTTTTGATATTGATTTTGTTGTCTCCTCATTCCATTTTCTGGTGTTAAGCATACTAAAGATGATTGTATCAGACCACTAGAGCTGTTGGTGACTTTAGATGTTATTTCTATGCTTTCTCGTTTAAAATCGTCTGGTGATGGTTGGATTACACCGAGTCAGATGATTTTTCCTTGGCGTGATTACTTCTTATCCACTGGTATTGAAGTGGCACAATTGCACACGTTAGTTGACTGGATGAGAGATGAGGACCTAGACTAGGCTCTGTTCTGTAAGGCTCTACGAAAATAGGTTTTTGCATCGTCATTAAAAAAAAAAAAACTTTTAACTGATAAAAATTGTCTTCAGAGCAACGATCTGAACAAGTTGTTGATTTGTACTTGGCATTTGGTTTGACCTCCAGCACTGACTGAAGTGAAATAGAACAAACTGGCAAAAGCTCAGCCTTTGTTCTCTTGATCCGTTTTTATTAGAATTGCATTCATATGAATAACAAAGATAGGTACATTGTTTCGTTTTTGTAATCTCAGGAGTCCTGCTAAAGCAGCAGGTACAGTTTCTTAATTCAATCAGATCTCTGCAGGATGATTACGTCTAAAGATTTTTTTTGATGGGATGTTCCAAAATGGCATAGTTTTTTAGCTCTAATCCCATAGCACTTAATTAGTCGAGAACACTTTAGTACATTCAGGTTGTAAGTGCAGAATAGAGCAGATGTAATGTATGTACTGTGTTTACATGCATGTGTTGCTGCTGAATACAGGAAGGTGGAGATACAAAACAAGAGGCTGCAACAAAATTGTACAACAATGCATTATTTAAAAGAAAATAGTGTCTTTAAGCACTTAAGGACAGTATCCACTGCCCTCGGACTTATCTCTTTCTGGGCAGGTGGCCCAAGAGCGCCAAGGTGTTACTACCCAGCCTACTGTTAACATTAGAGACTTTTAACTACGTTGTGTAAAGTCGATGTGATCCAACAGACACCTCAGGCAGGCTCCCAATACTCTCCATCCCCTTCCTGCCACCTGTAGGTGCTGTCAGGCCAGCCTGTCTTGGGCAGGGAGTTTTTATTTTATTGAAATTCTTTTTTCCTTTCGTCCTTATTTATCTAGTAAAAGGAGTCATTGCCCCTTGCAATGATACTTGATGTAATTTTTTGTTATATCACAGTATTTGTGTGGTTGTTTTTTTTTTTTGTTACATTTTAACGTACCAGTAATACCAGTGATTGTGCATGGAGCTAGATCACAGCTGTGATATAGCTACTGTTAAACAAATGGAGCATATACAATATATTTGGAGTCAGAGACAAAAAAGCAATGAAAGGTCCAATTGTAGCAATAGCGTGTGTGTGTGTGCGTGTGTGTGTGTGTGTGTGTGAGGGAGAGAGAATGAGTTCTAGCGTGCAGCACAAATATTGCACTGCCATTCATTTAGGCCAATTCAGTAAATCATAGCATCATTGCCAATGGAAGATTCAAGTGCGGGTTGGATGTCTTAGACTTTTTGTCACATATAAGGCCTGTTTGCCAAAATGTGTTGAGAGAAAACCTCTTAGTAAAGCAGCAATGGATTTATGCATATGTTCAAGCAGTTTACAGTCTGACCATCAAATCTGAGCCATGAATTTTCTGACTTAAATGAATGTAGGGTCAGTTTAGAGAGGACAGTTTGCTTTCTCCCAACTTTAAACTGTTGCTCTTCATTTGTCTTGCATAGATGAATATACAAGTAGCATGTAGTAAAATTATTCTCTTCTTCTTCTTAAAATGTGTGTGTAGTAGTCTTCCTGCATAGAACGTCTGGATATGTTTAGGTCGTTTCCCCTTTTTTGTCACTAATGTTGGAGTTTTAGGCCTGCCATTGTAAAATATCACTAATTCTACTCCCTAATACAGTTTTGATGAAGCCTACATGATAAACCGAGGGCAAGAGTTAAGATGAATATAACATTCACGTTCATCCATTCCATTGAGATTGCCTTACAGTATGGTAAAACAAGAGGGACACAAAGGTCTACAGTAGATAAGATCACACATACTCTTAAATAGCCTATATTTGACAAAATGCACCTAAGCTACACCCATTTAGTGCCATAGAAACCTTGATTTGCCTTTAGACACAAATCACATTTACTTAGAAACATATTCAGACGTAAACAAGAGTTATTAGTTTTGTGTTCGGAGCTGCATGTCTGCTCATCCATTATATAAGAAAAGCTGTATAAACATTTGCATGAGATAATAGTACTTAGATGCAAGCGTTCAGTTCAGTTTTGGTGGTAGAATTATATTTTAAAATTGGAGATTTTTAAAAGCATATAAATGGTCCCTTTAGTATTGGCAAAGCAATCCATTGTTTGTGTGTTTTACAAGGTGGTTTATAAATGTGTGTTACAAAGAGAAAAACCTTTTTGATGTCCTAAAAAGCATGGTATATACAACGTTAAGGATTGATTTGCCTCAATGGATGTCTTGGTTCTTACTTGAAGTAAATGGCAAATTTCAATTCCACTCTGATCCACTGTTGAGCCTTTTGCCTTAAAAGCTTGAACAGAAAATTAAAACACATGGCAGCACCTGATCGGTTACATCACCAGTGGAGTTGTGCTACTCAGTTTGATCGCAAAGAAATTGGCTACTTCTAGTCCTTACAGACACCTTTTAGGTGTCGAGAAGCACACGAATAAATCGAGGTAGCACATCGCTCTGGGTCGCCGCGGTGCCGAGATCGTTCCGAGAGGTTGAATATGGCCATATTTTCCACTGTGAATGAGTAAAGTCAGAATTCACTCGTAAACAATCAGCTATGGCTTCTCTGTTATCCAGAGCTAAATGACACTGGGAGTTGAAGTTTTGTACCTCAAAAAAAATGACAAAGACAGGAAGGATGCGTCTACAGCTATGCTAACAAAGAGTTCAAACCTTGTAATCCATCTCGTGGGTTGTGTAATTCTGCTTAAACCAGCCTAAATCAGATGTTGTGGAAGTGTCTGATTAGTTACAGTAGATGTCATGTTTCCTACCTTTTCAAAGGGCAGCCAGCTGCACCTTGTACTTTTATTGGACCTGCAGTTTTACCTCATTAGTGATCTTTTGTGTGACAATGCTGACATTGATCGTGTGTTTTGTTTGGTTTTTGTTTTCTGATGTCGGTCTCGTAGACTACTTTCAAGTAGTGTGTGTGTGTGTGTGTGTGTGAGAGACTTCAAGATAAGCATGTCGTACCTTAAACATGCACAAGCCTGTTTTGTTTTTATATCTGAAGCTCATCCTCACCCTGTTTCAACATGTTTCTCTTAATTACAATCAACAGACGTGTCTGTTAATTGGTGCAAGTCAGAGTCCAGGGTCCAGCGTCGTGTCAGGTGGGAAACGAAGGTAGCTATAAAACTTTACCTCTGCAAGTCAAACCGATGCGATTTTACTGATCGGGTAGTGCGAGTTTGACCGCCTTCCCAGGCTGAACATGTGGTTATTCATCCCCCCGCCCACCAGTAGGACCTGTGTATGATCAAGCACAGAGGTGGCATGGTGCCTTTTATTTGTTACTACCGAAAGGTACGGTCTTCCATTTGTATTTCCCGGAAGCCTTATGAAGGGGGGGAAATAAATCATTCTGAACAGGCTTGACTGCAGTAGATGGACCCCCTCTGAGCATTATCATCAAATTCTGTTTGACGTTAAAAGTAAAAGCCAAAATAACACTTCTTTTCTTAGACTGAATTTTACTAGAACTTTTCAGTGTTGCAGAAGAAATTGCACATGGCTGATGCAATTTTCGGCACATCAAGTGATGAATGAACGGGGGATCAGTAGATTGAAAGCACAAATCCAAAGAAGGCGCCTCAGAGATCAGTAGGTTTTCGCAAATCATGAGAAGCAAGGGAGCCTGTAGACCAAATTTAGGCAAAAATGTGTGAGAAAAAGGCATCTCTCTGCTACGTGCAGAAAATCCAAGTAACACAGTAACTGTAGACGCCATTGTGTAAAATTGCAGAGCTGCTTCTGATTCTTCTTCTCAACTGTTGGGTAACTTCACAGTGCAAACCAAGTTGTGACATGATGTGGTACCTACATTCAGCATCAGATTTAGGTGAATTGCTTGTTGTGACTGTGTTGCAAATTGATTGTGGAAGTAGTTTTGTGTTCTTTAGGCTAGACTGACTATAAGTAGGATTGCATTAGTAGCTGTGTGCAGTGTTAATAACAGTGTGATCATATTCTAGAAGTGATGTAACATTTTGTTGTCTTTCTACGACATGAGGCATGAATTATCTTCTGTCAAGCTGACCTCGTTTGAAATAGATATAAGTGCAATAACCTCTTGTTTACCATCGCTTCCTCAGTTGAGTACAAGTTAATATGCCCTTTTTTTAACACCAAAAGTCACTCGCCTGTAGCAAATGAAGGATTTCAAGTGGTCCTCTTGTTTGTATTCAGTGAGGTGTTTGATCGTGGAGTGTGTGAAAGTCCGTTATGAAAACTGTGATCAACATCAAATTTTTAAAGCTGCCTGCTCAGACACAGGACCGTGCACAAGCTGATGGTTGGACTAATTGTTTTGTTTTTTTTCTTCTGATGGATGGACTTGATGGTA